AAATGCTGTCTGATTCAGGGATTGCTTAACAAAGCCAATTAGATCTTCAAATTGACTTGATTGAATTTAATACCACTGAGATAGTTTTGACTCCTTTGATTACCCAAAGTCTTCATATTTTTCTTACATCTTTGGGTCTCATTGGTCAGTGACAGACAATCATAATATTAGAGTTATAAGGGACCTCAGACACCACTTACTATATGAATTACCTTAGAAGCTCTTTGTGGTTTTCTTTTTGTGTGTGTGTGTGTGTGTGTGTGTGTGTGTGTGTGTGTGTGTGGTTTTGTTTTGTTTGTTTTTTGTTTTTGTTTTTATCAACAAAGCTTCACAGGCTCCACCTCCAGGAATCTGCTCCAATGGATGTGAATTTACTTCAAATATTTGGGGATCACTGACCCAATCTACCACTTTTGTTTTGTTTATATTTTTTAGTAAATAGAAACACAGATCCATGAGGGAATGTTTCCAAAGACACAGTGAGTTGAAGGCAAAGATGATCTCTCAGATCAATGACATCATGAAGGTAGAAAGGGTCCCTAGATCAAAGGTGCTCCTACCATATCTGGTACTACCGTCTAGGGCAGTGATGGCGAACCTTTTGAGCTCGGCGTGTCAGCATTTTGAAAAACCCTAACTTAACTCTGGTGCCGTGTCACATATAGAAATGTTTTGATATTTGCAACCATAGTAAAACAAAGACTTATATTTTTGATATTTATTTTATATATTTAAATGCCATTTAACAAAGAAAAATCAACCAAAAAAATGAGTTCGTGTGTCACCTCTGATACGCGTGTCATAGGTTCGCCATCACTGGTCTAGGGTCTCATTTGTGAGAGTTGAATTAAAAAAAAAATCAGTAAGTGGAAAAACTATCGTGGCTTTATTAAGTTCTTTGTTTGTTTATTGGCCTTTGGGCAGGGTAAGGCACAAAAGTAAAAGAAAATGGCATAGTGAGAAAAAAGACAGGATTTTAATTCACATCTGTTCTGTAAAGACCTGAGAATAGGTGGGTGTTTTTTTTTAATCTTTCTAAATTGGTAAGAGGACTGAACTCTTCAATGTATAAACATTAGTGGATGGATGGGTATCTGATAACCAACATTTCATATAAACTTGGATCCCATAAGAAGGAAAGAGAGTTGCCAGGAACCCTGGTTTTTCTAGAGCCCACAGGCTGGATTCCCTATGACTGGCAGTTTAACTGTAATCTTATATGGGGTCATAGGATATTACTGCGCCCACCAATTCCCACCAGGGCTTGCTATATCATTGTTCAGGAGTTACTCAGCTTTTGTTACTGTACCAATAAAAGGATAAGGCTAAGCTACAGTCTGACTCACAACAGAAGTCATAACAGGAGCACCAGGAATTGTGGATTAGTTCAATGAGTATTCTAGTTCAGCATCCAGCTGAGCTCAAACTTGAGGGGAAAATGCTTCCATGAGGCCCAATGGCTGGCCTGCAGACCCAGTGGTTGGAGTAATCTTGTCTTCTGTCTGGAACACTGTCATTCTGGAAACAATTAGTTATAGTGACTAATAACAAGGACTTTACCCTGTTATGTCATCAATACTTAAAATAAGACCCAGATAAAAGTTTGTCAGTTGTCAGTTCCTATGAAGTGAGTTCATATTCACTTCAAAACTCTGTAGTAAGACTGCTCTGATTCATTCCTAAGAAGACATGTTGCTTCAGAGGGAAAAGATAAATGTTTATTTAAACCTAAATCACACATGACTTTGCAACAATACTAAGTTACCACTGCATTCCTTCATTCATTCACTCAGTCATGCTCAAATTACATCTCTGAATCCCTGATAGAAATCAACTGATAGAAATAAACTTTTTTAACTGGCCAAAGAAAATTCCTCATAGCCCCTAAAATCAGTGAAAAGGGAAGGCATGCAGGAAGGGTAGGAGAACTTGTGACAGCAATACGCAATGCATCTGAAAGAGTCACGCCCGGCAATTTACAACCTTCCTGTGAAGCTTGTCAGGAAGCACAAGACCATCAGCTGACCAGGGTTTGCTGCTTCTCTCTGCTCACTTCATTTAACCTGTCCAACAGCTACATTTTCTAGGTAGTATCAGAGCAGAAAGGTTTTCACACTGTTTCTAAGTGAAGAACACGATGAGAAAACTCTCTCCCCACTTCTACAACTTGCTTCAGACTTTAATAGCCTTTTACTAAAATCTTCAGAATTCTTTGGTCTGTTGCCTTCACATATCTCTAAATCAGTGACTATTTTTGTTTCCTAGTCAGTAATCCTAACTACTATAAATAAAGACTGGTAGTAAAATCATGTTCAGTTCATTTCTGTGAAGTAGTTCATTAGGGGAAAACAGACCCTAGTTTCCGTACTTATTTTCTTGGTAAGCAACTACAGCTCTATCTACAGCTCTTCCTTCCTTTCTTCCTTTCCTTCCTTTCCTTCCTTTCCTCCCTTCCCTTCCTTTCCTCCCTTCCCTTCCCTTCCTCCCTTCCTCCCTTCCTCCCTCCCTTCCTTCCTTCCTTCCTTCTTCCCTCCCTCCCTCCTCCTTCTTTCTTCTTTCTTCTTTCTTTCTTTTCTCTCTCTCTCTCTCTCTCTCTCTCTCTCTCTCTCTCTCTCTCTCGTTCTTTCTTTCTGTAGAATTAGTTCATCCAAATTGTAGAGAAGTTGGATATTTACATGAATTAATTCTTCTACTCCTTCCAGCCTGGTGATTCCAAAACAGTACAAAGAATCTCTTCTGAATCCCTTTTCAAGATATGAAACTTAAAGCACAGTTGACTCTGAAGTGCTTTGTTTCAGTTCCTCTAGTCTAAGTGTGTGTACGGTATACTTGCAAAGGCAAGGTTATGTCAGATTTCTCCTGCCATTGGAGAAACAATGATTACAGATAAGCTTGGCAAATACTCCCACATTCTTCTTATAAACAGCCCTGTATACGTATCTAGTTTGTTGGGAAAGTTTTAAAAATCAAGTTATTAGCAGCTTTGCAAGTTGACATTTTTAAGAAAGAAGACTAGAAGCTATTATTTGAAGACTGCACAATATACCTAGTATCAGATTTCAGAGTTAGGAGATCTGAATTGAGTTTTAGCAAGAAATTTTTTATTGACAAACCATTTAAGATGTCTCATCAAACTCTTTAGGTTTTTGTTCACTGTTATTTTGTGAAATAAATTGAACCCCCATAGCTGTCATTCTAGAGAATAATGAGGATGGAAGTGAAGATACAGAGGACAAACTTCTTTCCTGAAATGTTTCATTCCACATAAACCATAACTGGGAAGATTAAAATGTCTCTTTCTGCACTGAACTGTGCCAGTTTTACACTGCGGCTAACTACTAGGTATCCAACATGACTCCACTGTATTTGTGGAATCTTTCTCATCAACTCTAAATAATTGGAAAATCATTAGGAGGTGGTGGTGGAAACAAACTATAGTTAACCCCTGAATAATGCAGATGCAGTAAAAATCTGCATATAACTTAAGTCAGTCTACCACTTGCCTAATGCCCACCATGAATTGAAAACATTGATTTAAGATACCTAAGAGCAAAGAAGGGGTTGGAAGTCATACCTAACTGCCACCTGACTTGGACAAACAGATAACTCGTGAGCACTTTGGAGCCCGATCCTTACAGGGCAAGCTCCTGTCAATAATTCACTCTACCCTTGAGACTGGCCCAAGTCCTAAATTCAGGAAACCAAATACAATACTGCACATAAATACGGTTTCAAGATTGTAGAAAAGGGAACAGAAAGTGGATGAGGTCTACAAAGTCAACTGTTCTGTCTGGAGATGAATTCCAATTAATTGACAAGTATATGTCATCACTGTAGAGAATTCTAAAGAAAAATACAACACTCAGCATCAGAGAAGTAAATCTAACAAATTAAAAAAGGGAAAGAAGATAGTGGATATGAACATGTTTTATTAAGTTTAAAGTGTTGTTTAAATGAAAATTGTTAAAATCCACCAAAGAATAGTAAGTTCACTGAAAGTGAGAAATATAAGTACATACCCAAAACTTGAAGTTTTGTTTAAGTAACTGGGGTGGCCCTGCATATTCTTATGGGGATGCTATCTCCTTCCCTGAATATCTATTTGGGAAATCTAGAACTGTGCGAATAAAAGAAATAGGGAATACAAAAGGTCCTGATGCTACATCTCCAAATCTCTGAAGAGGAAAAAGTTATTTAAATCATCTGAACCAACTACACAGCTTAGCAGGTGAGAGTGAGACCCACAAAAGCTGGGGGATTCACCCAATATTACAAGGATCTTGGGCAGCAGAGCTGGGGATCAAGTGAAATCAGAACAGGGTTCAAGATCCAGATAAAATGAATGCTAACCCATTATGCCTTCCTTTCACTAAGCTGTCCTTTCTTGATAAGAAACAGATAAAAATAGATAGTATAAAAGTGAAGTTCTTATCTAGCACTCAAATGTATTTTCCTAATGTACCACATTATTCATTACCTTTTCCCTCTACATATTTATCTCTTTGAGTGGACAGCATGTGACCCAATACCCATAAAATGATTTCCACACTTCTCCCTAACTCTCTAACCTACTGGGTTCTTACACTGGAGTGGACTATATACCATTTTATTAAATTTCTACTAAAGAAAGACAAAGATTTTTATATGACAGAAACTATATCCTGAAAATACATTTTAAACCAACCAATAAGTATATTTATGGCTTTCCTTACTATCTATCTACATTATATTTTTGAATGAATGTAATTCTCAAAGGACTTCTTTCCTTTTCATTGACAGGGCAATAAAATTATTTACAAAGAATGCTTTCATTAAGAGCTTCTAATAAAATTAATGAATTCTTCTAAAATGAAATAATCAACCTAAAAAAATATAGCAAGTATGTTACTCTTTTTAGATAAGCGCCATTATTAAAATAGTTCATTATAATACCATCTTGGTACACAGTGAATTAAATTAAAATTTCGCTTAGGTTTTGAAATAGAATTAAAATATCAAACCTGCTGTCGAGTTCCGTGTGATCAGTGCCCCTTCCTACCCTGGCACGTTTTCGAATCTTTGTGCAGAAAAGTGTCTTGCAAGTCCTCCCAGCACCAGAGACAGCATCACTCACGTAACTGGCTGAATCCTGCCGGCCAGGGGGCCGGTTTGTGGTCTTCGCTGTGCCGCCACACATCTCCTGAGCCGTTCAACCTCCTTCCGGTTTATCCTGACTATCAACATGGACTTGGACACAAATGTTGAAGAGCCTTTGTTGTTTGAGGGATATTCCGAAGTGACCAGCTACTCTAAATGATCACTGCACTCCCTATACAGTAGGTGAGACAAGCTACTTGGCAGCAGCCTACAAATTCCTCTTTCGAAAGTTTTTTTTTAAGAAAGAAAAAAAAAAGGAACATTCATTTGTTACGTAAATTAAGCCCACCAATGATTTAGGAAGTCAGATGCATCCATCACGTTATAAAACATGCTCTCAGCAAACTCATTATCAACAGACAAGTCCAATTCCCACTTCCTACTTTCGTTCCTAAGCTTGTGCTCCTGTTAGCAGAAGAAAAGTCCTCAACAGGTTGAGCAGCCTGGACTGACCCACTCCATCTGTGCTCCTCGGTTGGAGATTATGCGGTAGTGAAGTATTCAGTCACAAGACCTATTCATATGGCTCTGGGCAAATGCAGTGGCTTGCCTTCAGCTGCAAGGTTGTTCTGACATTGGCCACATCACCCTCTTAATGGTTCTCATGTGAGCAAGCGTCAGCTGACAGGTTTTACTCTGCAACCTTGCAAAACTCTGCCCATGGCAAGTGAAAGAGATGGTTACCCACACAGACAAATGTAAGGCTTAATGTACAGGAGACGGTTTAGGGCTGGCAGAGTAGGGACACATCCTTGCTTTAATACCAAATACATACTGTAAACTAATATATAGTAATAAGTGAGAAGCCATAAACCCTCAAAACTCTTGCACTGAATTCCTGATTCCTGGGCATATTTATGCTGAGAAAGTCCTGACTACCAGAACCAAGAACAAAAGCATTTCAAATTTAACTTCTGACACTAACATTCTTCATCTGTAAATTGAGAATAATGTTATAAAATTAATATGATTTTTCTACACTACTGTGAGTTCAAGGAAAAAATAAATTTTCTTTTGGAAGTAAAAAGCATAAGCCCCTAAAAATACAGGTCAAATTTGATACTAAATAAATAACTAAAGGATTGTCCCAATTCATTTCCCTCTTCCTCATCCTTGATTTTGGCTGAAGAAAATATTAACAGATTCCCAATATCTGATGAACACTTGCCTGAGTCTTTAGTTTCAGAAGGTTTTAAATGCATCTTTATACATGGCAGCCGTACTTCACTTCACAAGTGGGAGAAAAATCTCATGATAGTGTGGTAGAGGTCTCTACTACCTTAAGACTTTATTATGTACGTGACCCTGCAGTGTTTCTATAACAAACCCCAAAAAGATCTTAAATACATCCTCCTCTGAGAAACAAAGATTACAACACACCTCCAACAGCGACTAGACTGCTCTGTGGAACATGCTAAATGGATAGTGCCAAGATAAAACCACATTAGGAGAAAATGGGTTCATTTTTCCAGAAAGGAGAACACATTTTAAACTTAACGCTTAACTGTATGGCCAGAGTGTGATCATGGGTTCTTCTTTTTCCCCCTTGAACTGTCTTTAAAATCACTTTGTCTTTTTAACAGAGAATCAGAAGATCACTTATGCAAATGCTCTAACTTTTCCACTTCAGGTCGGGGCAGCTCACTGAGCAAAGGCTGAAAGTAAAGCCTTTCACCATCACCAGTGAAGCCCCAAGTCAGCATCTTCAATTCAGCTAGGATGTACCTCATCTACAAGCACAGGAGAAATAAAAGTATAGTTCAATGTTGATGGGGTGGGGGTCTTTAAAGATGCCACTAACTGAATTTCATAAAATATGTAGAGGAAACACTGGGGGAACAACATCCCACATTTTATAAGACTGAATTTTCATTTAAAAACTTTAATCTCTAAGAGATATTTATCGAGGACTTGATGAAATGCCAAGAAACCCTCTTTTAAAATACGTGCTCTGCATATACATTTACCTAGTAGTTAGCCACAAGCTTTTCAATAATTCTGATATTTTATATTTTACAAAGGCTTCAAAATTGTTATAAAAATACAAATTTTATCCCCTATCCAGATGATGCAAACATTTTAAATGATCAGAATCATAGGAGCGGAAAATGTCAACATGGTTACAAAGGATGTTTGGATGAAATAAAGATCAAACTGCACTGGGGGAAAAGTCCCTTAAACAGAAACCAAATGGCACAGAAAACCCGAAACCTCTTCTGTGTGTTTCCTTCACTCAGTCAGCCATCTTTACCTAAACACTTACTATGTGCCAGTCACTGTTTCTCCCGAAACTCAGCACACCTTTTAGCCACCATTTCCTTGGTAGAGTAAGGCTATAACTTCAGCATCTTTATAAACATGAATTGCTGGCCTTCTCCCCAGGGTTTCTGTATCAACACTTCTGGGGTGGAAACTGAGGATTTACATTTCTAAGTTCCCCCGAAGCTGTTGCTGCTGGCCTGGGAACCATACACTGGACAACCACTTCCTCGGTCACAATTCCGTCTTCCCCATGAAGCCTTCCTGGGCTGGAAGATCATCTTCTCTCTTGAATTCCTCTATAATTTTTAAGCCACACTTTCAACACAACACACAACTGCTTTGCAAAAGAGTAGTGTGCATGTCTTTTGATCCTAACTAGATCATAAATTCTTTGAGTATCAAAACTGGGTCTTGACATTTCTCTTGTACCTTCTACACATGGGAGATGCCCAATAGACAACTTTCTGATTGGTTTAATGCCACTGACTACTTACATTAAAAGTATGACCTGAATCGATTGCAAACAAATAGTGTGCTTCTTTGTACATAAACTCTGCCAGGAGGGTGTTTGTGCTCAAACACACACACTTTCTCTTTCTCTCATTTATTATGTGGGGGAAAAGAGTTTTGGGAATTATTTTAAGCTGGTTATTTGGCTATTTTTAAGAATAAAAAACTGTTTAAAGGATTCAGATAGAAACCCTGCTTAAAGGAAGGGAGCATCACATTAACATATTATGAATTAAGGGTGGCAGACAGGGAACAACCTAGCAAAGTCTATTAGACTCCCCTCTGTCCTACTGCTTCTGGGTGGCTGACAAGAATTTGTTTACTCAATGCTTTGTGTGTTTTTTCAATCCTCACCTGAGGATATGTTTTTATTGATTTTTAGAGAGAAGGAGAGGGAGATTCGGGGAGGGAAGGAGGAGGGAAGGTGGGGGAGGGAGGGAGGGAGAGAGAGGGAGAGAGAGAGAGGGGGAGAGAGAGAGAGATCAGTTGCCTCTTGCACCTGCCCCGACGGACAGGGGATCGAACCCACGACCTAGGTATGTGCCCTGACCGGTATGAGAACCCACAACCTGTTGGTGTTCAGGACAATGCTCCAACTGAGCCACCTGGCCAGGGCTGTTTACCCAATGTTTTGCTGTGTCTCATCTACCTGTGAATTACCTACCTTCTCTTTCTTCTTAGCTCAAGATTGCATATAAGCCTTAATTGCCTGATTTACCTTCAGCCCTATATTCTTACAGAACCCCTGTATGTATGTACATACATAATACGTTTGGTTCTTTTCTCCTATTAATATGTCTCATGTCAATTTAATTATTAGACCAGCCAGAAAAACTATAAATAAAAATGGGGAGAAACTTTTCCCTCCCCCACAACTATAGCCAAAGTTCCTTTAGACATTTTAAAAACTTATGTTCACTCCAATTGATGTGACTCATGTTATCTTAACAGAAAGGACTTTTAAAAAGTGAAAATGCCATTTCCCCTGTTCTTCCCCTTAATAACCCATAATTTCAGTTCAAAATCTGATAAGATGTAATAAAGTAGTGATGCAATCAAAACCACAACCATTATACACTATATGGTGCCAAATTTCCTTATATTTAAGTAGGAGTCTTAACTTTTCTTCAATAAATGAAAAAACAAATAATAATTGTATCATCACAACCATTCTTCTGGGATATTACAACAGCTCATAGAATACCTAAGAGAAAGGTATGTTTAGACCTTTGGTGCCCAAAATTCTGTTCTCTACCTCAATCCAATCTCCCTTTTTCACAATCTTCTCTTTCCCCAAATGGAGTTATACTCTTATATAGGTACTTATGCTATTGCTCATTAGCATGCTGGATACCCTGCTCTTAAATATTAAATAATATACACATTAAAACTGATCATCAGCCCTATCTATAACCCCACTGATGGTAAAGTTCTCTATTTCCTTCACAAAGCTCAGCCACCTTACACAAGTAGACACGCATCTGCCTCAGTGACTGGACTGGCATACTCCCCCCACAGTTCAACATGTCAACTAAACTGCTGCTGCCACCAGATACTTTCACAACACAGATGAACTTTACCCAATGTTGGAAGGGAGGATCAGAGAAGTGTGGAAGTAGCTGGCATCCCTGTGATCTGTGTCAGAAAGGGGGACTACTGGTTCAACTTTTTCAGCTGTATTTGCACTGCTTCCAATCTCACAGTCCAGGTACTGAGTGGTCCCAGAGAAGAACGTTAAGTTTATAAAATAGCCTAAGTATAATTTAGACCATCCCAAGCAAAAAGCTGGGACTCAAGATGCCAGTCTAGTCTCTTTTTCCCATGGCCAAAATCTCTAATCAATGAGAACAATGTTTCCTGTTGTGCCCAGACTCCCTCCAAATCCTTCCAATGCAGTGTTCCAGGGACCCACCTCCAATCCAAAATAGTTGGCATCTGAGAAAAAAATCCATTCCCCTCACTGATTCAGAGTAGGGAAAATTAAAGGAAAAAAAGTTTCAAGGTAAGTATTCATGCAATTCTGCATTCGCTTAACTTCACACTCTTCAGGTGATAAATAACAGTAATCACTGTATGTGATGAAAAACTAACTCAAAAGCCACAACTGAAAGAAATGGGTTTGAAGTGAGAAAAAAAACACAAAGGTTTAATATAGTTCCCCCAAAAGCCCAGTCTAATTATCCCTATCTAATGAATCTTTCTATAAAGAATATTTCTCTGCCTATTCACATTACCTTAATGAGAAAAAAGGAAAAATAAACGGAGGAGAGGCCTTGGCAGTTCATGATCTTTAGCCACCACAGATGACCCTCCTCTTATTGGGGTACAGTAGTCACCACTTATCTATGGGGGATAAAATAAAATAATTATAAAAATATACTCTAATAAAAGTTGTGTGGATGTGCTCTCTCTCACAATATCTTATTGTGCTGTAATCACCTTTCTTCTTGTGATGTGAGATGGTACAGTACCTATGTGATTAGGTGACGTGAGGTGAATGACGCTGACGTTGTGGGATAGCGATAGGCTGCTACTGACCTGATGATATTCCAGAGGAGGATCACTGAGCCATGACAATGTCATGTCTTCCACCTACAAATGTAATGCCTTTTCCATCTTAACTAAGTATTCATCACCCACTGAAGCTGTAACTTTCACAGTTTGAGGTGTGATAGCAAAACTAGCACAAATTCCTTTCTTCTTCACAATTTCACAGAAGATTCATTCTTACTGTATATCTTACCAACTTAAACATGAGTTTTTTCTTCCCATATTAAGTTGAGAACTTTCCCCTTTTCACTTAAAGAAAGCACTTTATAGCTTCTCTTTGGCATATCGAATTGCCAGTACCACTTTTCTTGTGCTTTGGGGCCATTATTAAGTAAAATAATAGTTACTCTACCACAACAGGAGATCTGATAAGTGAGATGCTACTAGGTGACTAACAGTCGGGGAGTGTGTCTAGCCTGGAGACACAGACAAAAGGATGCTTCACTTCCGAGGTGGGATGGAATGGATGGTACCAGATTTCATCATGCTACTAAGAACAGAGCGCAATTTAACTTATTGTTTCTGGAATTTTCCATTTAATATGTTGAGACTTCCAATGACCACGGGTAACTGAAACCATGGAAAGCAAAACCATGAATAAGGGGGGGACTACTGTAATTTCCTTTCTTCCATAATGCATTTTCCATACACCCATGAACAGCTGATCATAGCCTTTCTACCAGTGGTTTTCAAAGCATAATCTCCAGAAGGCAACACAAAAAGGTTATGGGATGCTGGTAAACTACTGTTTCATGATCTAGGCACTGGTGCTATGAATATACAGCAAGCAAAATATGTACACTTTTCTGTCCACATATTATAGTTCAATACAGAGTTTTATAAAAAAGCGCTCATGGACAAAGAGCAAATGGACAAAGATAAGGGGATGAGAAAGCTTTCTTAAAGCAGTGTGATTTAGGGAAATGGGCTTTGGAGAAAGATCCAGGATTAAAATCAAGTCTATCAGCCCTGGCCGGTGTGGTTCAGTTGGTTGGAGCGTCATCCCATGCACCAAAAGGCTGTGGGTTGTGCAAATACCTAGGTTGTGGGTTCAATCCCTGGTCGGGGTGTGTACAGAAGGCAACCAATCAATGTTCTCTTTCACATCAATGTTTCTCTCCCCC